TATATATATATATATATTAAATGTCTTTTTGCTAACGGATACAAGCTATTGGAGAGTGCTGTCGCAAAGCTAAGGTTAATTTTTTTTAAATTCAAGAGAGTGCGTTTTTACTAATATGGCAATTTGTTATTTTTTTTGTTATAGAAGTTTATCAGTCAATGTGGCAATGAACTAAATAGTTCAATAAGTAGAGTAATATCTGAGTTGTTATCCCGAAAATTTTACGTCGGGTCAATTCTTATATATATATATATATATATATATATATATATATATATATAGATAGATAGATAGATAGATAGATAGAGAGATAATTCACAGAGAGTTCTGTTTCACTGTGCATGTAGACGAGCGAATGTCTCCAGTCATGACAGAATCCCGGCCGATTTGGTGTCAGACAGAGTTTCTACCACTGAGTTATCTTCATTCGGCAGAGTGAAACGGATAATTCTAGCGTATTGTTTTTACCAATGTCAACAAACACCAATCAGGCACAGTGCTCCAAATTCATTTTACTGAAGAGCTTTGCAATAGAGCAGGTGGCTGTTGTTTAAAGGTTTAGCCTATCTTTCAAGGGTGCTCAACTAAAAATATATTTTCAGAAGCTAATATATATATATATATATATATATATATATATATATATATATATATATATATATATACAACTAATAATCTTATCAATATAAGCAGTTGTACTCTGTCTGGCAAAACCTTAGGTGTTTTAGCTTGTAAATCAACAAACCAATACCCATGGGAAAAAATGGTACAAAAAGAAAGAACTAAGAACATATATTTCCGGCGAAAATAATTGTCTAGAATCTAAGTTCCGAGTCCAAAGAAAAAACCTCCGACATGAGTAAAGTAAAATAACTAAACAAAGTGCTCAATACGTAAGTAGAGCAAAATAAGTAATTATTACATACTATATATATATATATATATATATATATATATATATATATGGTGCTAACTTTGCTTCCCTGTAGCTAAATTGTATAGCACATCAGATAAAATGACGGTTTCCGTATAGGAGTACAAAAAACAAAACAAAACAAAAACAAATTTCTCGAACATTCAAACCAGGAAATGTAAATAATACTGTTTAATTAAAACAGACCTATACTTAAATAAATTGTTTGTATAAAAATAACGTATAAATATTAAATAATTGTTTGATTTAATCTTAATCAATTTCATTACATATATATATATATATATATATATATATATATATATATATATATATTTATATATATATATATATATATAATTTAATAATATATAATAATTATATATATATAATTATTATTATTATTATTATTATTATTATTATCATTATTATTATTATTATTAAATTATTATTGAATAAGTATCAGGTAAGCAAATCTTTATAACTTGTAAATTTATAAATAAGAGTTTTCGATTTTTATTTCGCCATTTTCAGAATTTATTTTGGTCGTGATATAATGCGGTGTTGTCTCGATTTTAAAATTTTACTTTGTTTTACTTTCATTCGTTGCATAGATTTCACGTGTCCATTTCATGGCATTATGTACGTATGCATGCAATTTCGTGGGCGAAACTGTTTAATAAAAAGTGTGCATATTAGTGGATTTTGATTTCATAAAAAATATGCCGACGGTAGAATGTGAATTTGTAATACCATTCATTGTGCAAAGAAAATATACCCATTTTTATTACACACTTAAATTGCAATAGTATTTCAAGAATTACACCCACTCAACGCAGCCATCAGACAAAAATTGTGACGCCCACAAAATTCATACATAATACTTAAATTTATATTATCACTATTAAATGAACACATAACGACTGTCCTTCTAATAAGATCAAAACAATAGTGAAACATCTCCATATTATTCCCCTTCCCAAATAATTCATGATTGTTGCTCTCGATGATAACATGCTGTCGTTTATTGCTTGTTGCTTGCATTCAATAGATCAAGTTTTTCCTTGTTTTAATTACACGGCTTGACGCTTGAGCAATCAAGTTTATACGTTTCTGGATAAGTCACCTCATACAAGAGGTGCATTAAATCCCTTGCGCATTAGTGCGAGCGAGACGTTCTCTATATCTGGTTTCACTTCTATAGCGTTTTAAATATTTTATAAGTGTCTCAGTTCGTCTTTGTTCCAAGCTCTAACATTTAATCCATCCATGTATATTCTGTTTTTGATTTTAACATTTATGCTGAGAAATTGCCTTCTTGAATTCCGTATAGTTCATTTGTTTTTAACATCCTTTGACACATGGACCAAACTTACACTTGTTTTATATTTTGAAAATGAAGGAGAATATTAGTTGCAGTGAGCTGTAATTGCAACATTAGTCATGTAAAATCTGACACACATAAGCACAAAATAACACACACTCCCATTATATATATATATATATATATATATATATATATATCTGTTTATATTTCTGAGATGAGGTATTATGTACACTATTTACATTATTCGGACTATTGTTTTCATCTTTGTCGCCATATTTATTACAACTTATATCACCTGTTAAGGCAGTGGAGAACATGGAGAGGGGAATTAACAGGAGATAACTAATAATTGACATCCATTAAACATGGCACGTGAAACTAGAAAAGTCTACCCCAGTGGGCGAAATAAAGGGTTCAGTTCGAAGAAGACTGGAGCGTACAACGGCTGAAACGTTGTAATAAATATGGCGACAAAAATGAGGACAAATGGTCCGAATAATGTAAATAGTGCTAATATTATGAATTGCATTATAGAATAAATATATATATAATATATATATATATATATATATATATATATATATATATATATATATATAATTCTAGTAATGTTACATGAATCCAAAAATTCCACATGGATCCTGGGTGAGAATCACTGGTTCCACTTTCCACTTTGTTTTATTTCTCGTGAATTTAGAGTACATACTTTTAATTCGATGTTTTCTCCCTTTTCAATAGGGACGAAGTATATGTTTCTCTAATTTTGACTAGTCATTTTGGCTCAGGACTTTTGTTTTCTTTTTTTTTTTTTGGAATATTTCCAATTGTTGTTTTAAATATATTTGATTCTTCGTCGCCTCTCTTCATATGCTGTCTTCTGCTTTTGTTTAAGTTCCTGCAGAATGTTCTCCTATTGTTTTGGTAACGTGCTTTTTTAATGTTTCTTGTTTTCTCTACGATCTAAACATTCTAGTAATTCTTTCATAGACATTCTTTTTGCGTTTATTTCCTGCACTGCGGGGAATATTTATTTCTGTTTTATTTGCTTTTGTTTATATACGGCCACGTTTCTGTCTCTTTCAGTCTCTCAAAGCTTCCTTCTAATCTCCTTTCACACCATCCATTCGTGTCAATTCTCATAATCACGCAGTCACGTGATTTTCCCATTTGGTTGTCAAATATGTCTTACAATGACGTGTCATTGAAGCGTTGGTCAAAGGCCTGAATACCATGTTTTTCTTTCTTTTCTTCAAACAATTACAATAAAACCTTGAAAATATGTACCAAGCGGATTGTTTTCCGACAGGCATATAAGATTTTAAACCGCGGTATTTTTTTTTATTCTCTACTGCTTCAGTTTTCATCGAACTTCTCATTTGCTACATGTCTTCATAAACGGCATTTATACATCAGAATATGATTGACGCGATTTTCCTAAGCGAGCTAAAATTTTCAAAGCGAGCATATCTTCATGATTTTCTTATCGGATAATTTCAAAGCGAGCATATCATCACTGACACCTTAACTGATTTCAGTCTTGAGAGAGAGTCTAGGCTGATGGAATAATCGATTTGTTCAGAAGTCTTTCCATCGAGGCTGGTGCTGTGGTGGCATCACTTCATCGGCCTTGTAACGCACGTGCACTCGTGTGTGACCTGAATAATATTCGCCAGATGCCTGGCAAAGATTTTCGAGTATCTTGCTAAAAGACTTTCCACATTTAGGCGTACAATCTCATAACTGAATCTCGTTCGATTTTGCCAGCTATGGCTAACAACTTCCCTTAACAACTGAATATATGTCGCTGGAACAAAGCCCCTTGCAATATTGAGTGTGTAGACTCGGCAAAAATGAGCGTTAGCTCTGCATGCATTCACGTTGAAACGTACATAGTGTTAGCAGTCCGGAAATTTAGAATCTTCTATCGTAGATGTGATCAATCTCATAGTAAATTGTCAAGCGATGATTTGTAAGGTGTTGTATTGCAAGCTTTTATTGGGACGTATCTGTTAGAATGATTCGACTTTAATTCTAAATCCATCATTATTTGGCTTACTTTGAAACATCGATTCCCGATAGCCATTGGAAAGGCATGAACCCGCTCCCCACTCGGCTATTGGTTAATCAGTAAAACGTGTATCACTAAATCATTATTATCTCAAAAAATATACTTACATCTAAAACTAAAGGGTGTTTTAGTAAGACGGACCAAAGTCAGCAGTAAATAAATCAATGTTATTGGTAAAAATTTATCTATTTCACTATTGGATCATGTTATTTAAGCCATGGCAAATATGTGTGAAACATAATATCGCCCAAACTTCTGCCAAGGCGTCTGTGGCACACATTCACACGATTTCTCAAAATTTTTTATGGCGTCTCTGCATGACACCAAAGGAAGAAGTCTAAAGGCGTCAAGTCAAACGATCCTGGTGGCCAATTGACTTTGCTGTTTCGAGAGATGATGCGACCTGTTTTTAACTTCCATTTTAGTAATAGGCTTCGAAAACTTTAACACGTTGTTTGATTTTTAATCTTTCCATGGTTGAAAATACCAACGACTTAAGTAGTTAAATCTGAAAGAAAATGATAAAACACATTAGACTCTTAAATTGAATTGACATTTAAAATAGGTCCATGTTATTGGAAGAACCTGTATTTTCTGATTTTAAATAACCTGAAAATGTTTGTAAGCCGTAGAATCTGAATACATCAATCGATCAGCATCATCATTTCATTTATATTTGTCATTTATTTTAGGTTTGCCAACTGGTGAAGCGTATTGTACACCATTGCAGTCCTCGTCATCTGCAGATGCTCGCAACAGTGGTGCAGCCAGTCAAATCACGCAGTTTCATTTATACAGCAGGGCTATCATTACCGAATCGTCAATTACCGCCAGCCTCTAAAGACGTCACAATCAAAACAAAGGTAAAAGAACAATATAATTTTTACCACAACGATTTGAAATTTGAGTGTATAGTAGCGGTTTTTACCTGCCTAAGGGCACGTCAAATGGCTAGGAATGGTAAAGATTTTAACCTGGCTAGATGTACGACAGATGACTAGTAATGGTAGAGATTTGTTCTTGCTAGATCCACGTCAAATGGCTAGGAATGGTGGCGATTTTGACCTTGTTAGATGCACGTCAAATGGCTACGAATGGTAGTGATTTTGAACTAACTAGATGCACAGCAAATATCTATGAATAGCAGCGAATTTGACCTGGCTAGATGCACATCAAATGACATGGAATGGAAGCGATTATGATTTGACTAGATGCACGCTAAATACAAATGTCTAGTAATGGTAGTGATTTTAAACTGAATAGATGCACGTCAAATTCAAATATCTAAGAATGGTAGCTATTTTCACCTGGCTTGATGCACGTCAAATGGCTAAGAATGGTAGCGATTTTATTTTTGGTTACATGCACCGCAAATATCTTGAAATGGTAGCAATATTATCCTGGATAGATTCACGGTTTTGATTAGTAATAGATGCGATTATTATTTGGGTAGAATGCACGTTCAAGGCGTCTTTTTGTGGCTCTAACGGCATTTTTCTATTTCCGAATTTTTTGCTTATATTGTAGAAGACATCATTCGCGACCCCTTTGCGCCTTTGGTTTTCTGTGTCAAATTGTATGATGTCTGTTAAAATACTTGCCATTTCTGTACTTTTGATTTTGATATTTCCACATCTCATTTCTCATCTTGGGTTGTTCAACTTGCTAACGATAAGGTATTCAGTCTTAATACTATTGATGAATAGTCGTTTCTTCTTGCTTTCCTTTAATACATCGTCTAGAGTTTTCTTCAGTTTTCTTTGTTTTTACTTGTGAAGTGAAGAAAGCTGAGTGAGTACGTGATCGTTGATACCGTTTAAGGGGAGGAAACTAATTATGGTGTGTCGAGAGAAAATAAAACTTTCAGATGAACACAGCAATTTTTTCTTCGTAAACCATGAACACTACAATATTTGTCTTGAAATAGCCAACACCCTGATGATGATATTGTGTTATGTCGAAAGTACTCGGAATAAAATAATATGTATCAACACAGCGATTTTCTCTCTTCCTTTAATAATGAGACGAAAAAGCTTGTTCCTGAATATGAAAGTATCTAATTGAAAATAAGTAGGCAACACTTGTCTAAATTATTCAGTGGAACACACTTCACACACGCATCAATCAGCCGGGCATCAATGGCCTAGGGGTTAGAATCTCCGACATACCAAATTAGTCGTGTTTCAGTCCCGGTCTGAAGCGATCGAATGTCTACCCACACGGATGAGATGTGATACAGCGAAACAATCTGTCTGTGGATGAAGATATAACAATGGACTCTCCCGTCGGTTTCGACTTATGAGGATCTGACAGCTTAATTGATTCATTTATGGCATTTTATGCGATAATCTTAAGTGGCACTAAAGATGCGCTAGTGATTTAAAAAGGAGGCCACATATAGAGCAAGAGTGAGGATTGTGAGATGAGATCACTGTTAGATTGGCTGACCTTTTAGATCGTTCTCTCGCTTTTTGAGGATGATTCAGACAAGCGGATTGAAAAGTGCTGAGTCCACTAAAACACGTTGATCTCCATTCTACCCTCTCCAAGGCTAAGCACTCAAGTGTGTTATGTGGCATATTGATCGCTGAAAACCTGTAGCTCTGATCTAACTGGCTGTACATTAAGATCTTGATTATCTTGTCATCAGACTTTCTTAAGACATGACCAGTCCACCGTAACAGAGATTGTATGATAAAAGTCTCGATTCCTCGAATATTACACCTGCTAAACAAGTCTACGTTAGGTGCCCTATCTTGAAGGTTAACTTCACAGATTGCACACAGGCAGCTTTTATGGAAAACATCCAGCTGGCGTATACGGTACCTGTATGGAGTCCACGACTCTGAGCCGTACAAAAGAATGGCAAGTACAACAGTTATGTAAACCGGAATATTCGTATCCAGTCGAATACCCCGATCATTTCACAAGCGATGTCGAAGTTTGTCGAAAGCACTGGTAGCCTTAGCAATCCGATGCATTATTTAATCATCTAAAGTTCCACTGTAGTTGACTTTGCTACTAAGATAGGTGAAAGACTTTACATAGTTCAGGGCTTTGTCTTCTTCTTTCAATGGTCTCTCTGGACATTTGTAGACTGGTGGTTTCTGTTTTCCGCCACAGAATTGCTTTGTAGAAGGACAAGGTTAGTGCACTACATCAGCAAACAACAAATCACGAATAATTTGCGTACGAATGTGGGTCTTGGCTTTGAAGCGCTGATGATTGAAGAGAGCACCAGTTGTTCGAAACTGAAACTTGACGCCGCTCTCTGTATCTGCGAATGCATATTTCAGAATCATGGAGAAAAAAAAGGGCAAACAGAACGGGGTCCATGACACACCCTTTCTTGGTGCCATTTGTGATATCAAACCGTTCTGACATCATGCGATCAGATAAGATGTTTGCTTTCATCCCTTCGTGAAAGGAGATGATGACCTTTAGCATGTTTTCAGGAATGCCTAGTTTCCTCAAGATTTACCAAAGTGTCTCTCGATTCACAGTGTCAAAGCCTTCGTCAAATCCACAAACACCATGTACAACACCCGCTTTTTCTCGCAAACCTTCTCTGCAACTTGACGAAAAGAAAATGACATGTCAATTGTGCCACGACCCAACCGAAAAACAAACTGCGATTCAGGATAGATGCCGTCAACAAAGTGGATAATGATTCTATTTAGAATCTTCTAGCTAGGATTTTGTCTGCAATTGAAATTAGTGATACCCCCCTATGATTATTATACCGGGAAACCCTGTTTTTGTAGAGGTGTTTGATAGAGGCAGGTTTATAATCCGGTGGGACACAGCCTGCCTTCCATATCTCCACGAAAAAGAAATGTAACTTTTCTACCAACATTTGGCCACCATGCTTATACACTTCGGATGGAAGTAGGTGATTTTCTAGATGAGATTTGCTTGATGGAGTCACTTAACTCTTGATAGGTAGGCTCAGAGACAACTCTGGAATATCTGGATTTTGCTAAATTGATGTGATGACTTCCTCATCAGTAACGGAAGTGGTGTTTAACACAGTTTCAAAATGCTCTCTCCAGAGATCTAAAATGTCAAGAGAGTTTCACCATCAGCTGTGAAGATTGGAGCAAAACCACTTTTCTGATGACCGGAAATGCTCTTGCGTTCCACCATAGAAAGGCTTTAGATCCTTTCTATCTGAAGCTTCTCGGAGTTCAGTGGCCTTTTCAGACCACCAACGCCTCTTTATGGCTCTGAGAGCTCGTTGAACCTGACATTTTACACTTCTTGTAAACGATCTTCTTATTGGACGAGTTCTTGTCCTCAGTCAATGCTTTATGAGAAGAGTGCAGTTGATCTATAAGATGCTGAACTTCTGTATTATTGTCATAAAACCAGTCTTGATGTTTACCATTTGGTAGGACGAGAACCTCCAAGGATGTAGAATATGTTGCATCACGCAGAGCCTTCCAAGATGATTCGATATCATTGGTAAAGTTTACAGAATCAAGTGCAGCACCAAGTTTGTCAGAGAGCTCAATTTTCGTTTCAGTAGATTTAAGAGGTAGTATGTTAATGCGCTTTGGCACTGTAGATTTTATAAACCTTTGCTTTTGCAGATGCAGTGTAGCTTTACTCCGAAATAGAGCGTGATCTGTCAGATAGCATATTTTGTGGAATGAACTCGTTATCATAAAATCGTCTATGTCTCGTCTTTTGGTGATGATGTCGTCAATCAGATGCCAGTCTTTCGAACGAGAATGCATCCACGTATTCTTACAACAGCTGGGTTACTGGTAGAAGGTATTAGTAATACTAAGGTCAAATTCCTTGCAGATAGTGAGAGGGCTTACTCCATTCGAATTCACACGACCAATAACATGGAGACCTAAAACGCCTTTCCAAGAATGATAATCATTGACAACACGAGCATTGGAGTCACTTGTAAGGATTAATTTATTCTCATGTTGGACTTTGGAGATGACATCCCGAAGGGGATTGTAAAAATCATCTTTTTCTTGATCTGAACTACCTAAGGTTGACGCGTAGCAGCTAACCATCGTCACACCTGTGTTGCACCTCCGATTGAGGGTTAATGCCATTATATGTTCTGATACACCTTTAGGTAAGGAAGGCAGTGAGCTAGCAAGGTCTGGCTTGATGGCAATGCCAACACCAGACTGCTGTGGCACTTTCTCAGTCTTGCCAGCCCATAAAAACACGTATCTACCTTTTTCTTTCCTAAGCTGAGACTTACCAGTCAGACGTGTTTCACTAATGACCACTATGTCCATGTTATATTTTTTCAACTCGAGAGAATCAAGAGCTGTTTTAAATTATAACTTTATTTGTATTTGCGATAGAAATAATCTGTAAAAATGTTATATAGCTTAATGTACCTAATTTTAAGTATAGCTGAAATAACTAATGTGATTCCAGGCATTACTGTAAATCAGTTGGCAAATGTTTTCCGTTAACTGGAAAATTGTATTACCTTTTATTGATAATGATGGAGAACATGTGGAAAGTTAAATAAAATTTCAATAAAACCTTAAAAAATATAGATTTACTTCCCTCTAATCCTTTTTACAAATTATTTCTATCGCAAATACAAATAAAGTTATAATTTTTAAAGTGCACACGAAATTTATGGACACCCTGCATATATATATATATATATATATATATATATATATATATATATATATATATATATATATATAATCACACTTTACCATACTTCTTGTAAAGGCTAATGTACATGCACGTGTGTGTTTATTTTATGCTATCCATGTGTATGCGGGTCTGTAATTAAGTTTCTGTTTGAGAGCGACAGAATGAGAGTAAGTATTTTGTTTCAACTTAAAATGAACCTTCTGGTAATTACACAGATATTACATTATATATGTTTACATTGTGGCAATAAATCCAAACCGCCATTTGCATTTTATTAATAATTTAAAAAGAAAATCGTAAAAAAAAACGCATTTTAGCGAATTAATAATCCTTATTCAAGTGAGTGCCGGAGTGGAAATATGGGCCTTAGGCATTTAAATCAGAAAATAACGCGCGCAATTAAATAAATAAATAAACTTTTGATGTTTTTCCTCCATCGATCTGTCGCCCTCGATCATCCCTGTTTTCACACACTCTCTTTTAGTCTATCTATACATTGGCTGCATGTAAATATGCAGGCAGCAGATTTATTTATATTTGCACTAATAAATACATATGTACCTCTCTCTCTCTCTCTCTCTCTCTTTCTCTCTCTCTCTCTCTCTCTCTCTTACACATATAGGGAGGTGATGTTGAGAATTTCTATGGTATAGCATGAAGAGATTCTCTTCCGAAAAGAATATTCTAATGTTTGGTCATTTTGAGGGATTCTGTGTAGGGGATCGTGGCCGATAACGTTTGAAGTAATAAAAGTGTCAGATTAGTAATAAATGTATTAATTCTGATATATATATATATATATATATATATATATATATATATATATATAATTCTAAAGAAGCAATGAATTTTTAATACTACGACAAATTTTTATCACTTTAAACGTTATATTTATTGGAGACTCGTAATTCAGCAGACGCTCCGTTTATTTATTGAACAGTATATTTATTGATTTTTGTCTACAGATGGAATATTGGAGGAGCGCATATTTTTTTCAATAAAACTTCTCGAAGATTCAGTATTCATAAATCAACAATTCATCCTTGCTTTGAATATTGCTGCTGCATCTGTTCTGGTACTCCTGCTAAATATTTAGAGATTCTTGATAAAATCCAAGTAATATTTTGCAATGTTATTAGTCCTAAACCAGTCATCTAGACATCAGACATTTTTCCTAATGCCATCATGTACCGTTGTATCTTTTTCTATAAATATTTCCATAGCAATTGTATTAATGAATTTTCCTCTATGGTACGTGGACTTTATGATTTTCAGCGCAGTACTAGAATAACAGCAAGGTCTCATCATTTTACAGTTGAAATGGTTACATGTAAGTTCAAAGCTAACATTTTATTCTTTAACTTCTCCTTTATGGAATTCTTTCAGCTTATTGTTTCCCAGTCAGTTTTGATCTTCATAACTATGTGGCAATGTCAATCGTTATCTACTGTCTTCATAATTCTTGTTTTCTCCCCGTAACTGTAGTTTTGTCATAGTCTCTAAAACTCATATGCATGGACATACAAAATCTTCGATGAAAAGGAAAAAAAAAATCATTAAAAGTTAAATAAAATGCTTAAACGCAGTATTTTGTCAGCCATCTGTAAGGACACTTGTAAAAAAACACAATTTATATATATATATATATATATATATATATATATATATATATATATATATATATATATATATATATAAATATTATGAAATGGACTAAGTCCGACAATTATTTTCATATATTTTGTGTTTATACATTATTTTTATACTATTATTTAAGTAAATGTTCTGTTTATATTATAATTACAGTATTATTTACGTATACAGACCTCAATATTCAAAAAATAACGTTGGAAATATGTGTCCCCTAAAAGGAATCGAATCTGTGGCCAAAAAAGAACTGTCGTTTGTTCTGACTTGCTATACGTTTTAACTACAGAGGAATCTTAGTCCATTTCATAATATATGTTGTCATTTTTTTTACGTTAAGATACATTTCGAGCAGATATGTTCTTTTGATAAAGATCGTGGAAATTTGTTGTTTGCTTTGTTTCAATATATTAACGTATAAACAGAATATATATATATATATATATATATATATATATATATATATATATATATATATATATTTCTTTTTATGCGTTATATTTATAGATACAATTATTTAAATAAATGTTCTGTTTATATTAAACAGTATTAATTACAGTTACCGGCCTGAATGTCCGAGAAATTTCGTAGAAAATATGTCTTCTTCGAAGGGAATTGAACCTGTGTCCTACAGGGAACAGTGATTCGATATGACGTGCTATGTCATTTGACCACAGAGTAAGCGTTTGGTTAGCAAATTCCAAATTGCTGTTTTTTAACAACAAATTTCCCACGATTTTTCTCAAAAGATCAAATATGCTCGAAGCGTACATTCAGAGAGAGAGAGATAAATACGTGTGGGTGATAAGAATTACTCGCTATTATTCAAAAACATGCATTTCTCAGATTTTGTGGAAATATTAATTTCAGAAATATTAATGCGATTATTGGCGACATCCGTCGCTAGAAAACATAATATATGCATTAAAATCCTGTTCATCCAGAGTGCGAGAAAAAAAAACACATGCCTGATGATGGATGGAAGACCGTCCGTAGGTTCTAGCATTTTAACATCAAATAAACTGAAAAACTACAGACAACAAGTTTTTCTTCAAGGATCAAAACTCGCACTCTGGATGAACAGGATTTTAATGCATATATTATGTTTTCTAGCGACGGATGTCGTCAATAATCGCATTAATACTTCTGATTAATTCTATGTGTGATTATTCTTTGTATGTAAATCATATGCTGCCTAATATTTTATGTTTATTAAAAACTATCGATCCGCAGTACATAAAAAATTCTTATAAAAAAACTACTACTAAGACAATACACTTAATTTTTGGACCAAATACTTAGTTCATGACATAAAAAACTAATACACTTGTAAAATAGAATATGTGGATTTAACACATCACAAGAAATATTTAAATAAAATTCTCACTTAAAAAATTTTGAAAACTTAGCATTGCGTCTTTGCGCGTTCCACGATCTTACACCCGTCAACAATAGCAGATATTCAAAAACATCTTTCGGTCGACATACAGATATATCGTCTCAAGTTTTTGATTTTATAAGAAAAAAAAACACATGCCTGATGATGGATGGAAGACCGTCCGTAAGTACTAGCATTTTAACATGAAATAAACTGAAAACTACAAACAAGTTTTTCTTCAAGGATCAAAACTCGCACTCTGGATGAACAGGATTTTAATGCATATATTATGTTTTCTAGCGACGGATGTCGCCAATAATCGCATTAATACTTCTGATTAATTCTATGTGTGATTATTCTTTGTATATATATATATATATATATATATATATATATATATATATATATACCTCCGTATTCGCATGTGTGTTTTCTAGTATATATGTGTCATGATGAATAACTATATTCGTTCAGCCTTCATTACTTTAATTATTTGATCTTCTCTCTAAGCCGAAATTTTGCTTGACATTTAAAGCCATGTCAAACTCTTCGTATCTGCAAATAACCAGTTTTTCACTTTTCACTGTTTACAGAACAAGTATTTGAGTGTTCGGAGTCATAAATCCGATGTCGTCATTATTAAATCAGTCATGAGGTCAATGTTCCTTGCCATTTGTTTGCTATAATAGTCTATCGATATTTAGTGCTGTTGAAAGGAAATAATCGCGCTGTGCATCAAGCCATTTAGTTCCGTTTATAAATTCTCGAATCGCATTTTTATACAGTTATAATAATCTCGTCTTTGTCAAAGTGCATAACAATTTATGACGGTATATCGGGACTAAAAAGTTTCATTGCATATTGAAGCAATAAACAAAAAAAAAAAGGAGTTAGATGAGGTCAAGTCTCCTGCAGGTTTTTTTTCGTAATTGTAATTAAAGAAATTCCGAATTATAATTTTAATCGCACCGGGATTTGAAATCTCCTTGAATTTCGATCAAATAAATATTTCACTAAACAATCTTCATTTTTGTAAGTCCTACTTTCCGTCAAACTTCTTTATTTATTCCCATTTCCAGACAAGAACGACAGTTATGCTTAGAATCAGAAAGGGACAGATGAAATTACTAGAACTCATAATGAGGAAAGACGGCTTGAAAAATTTGACATTCAGAGGACATACTGAAGACGTGAAAACCATGAAAAGCAACACATAACGTTCCTAAAGAGTTTGCATATATCGCCGGCGGAACAGGGATTAGGATAGATAGCAAAAAGACAAAACTTACTTCAAGTTACAAAAAAGGTAGTTGTGGAGAGCCATGATCCATTACTTACTGAAGGAATACTGCATAAAGAAGCCGATTAAATATCATTTGATCTTATCATTTGTACGAATGAGCAGCATCAATGACTTTAAAATAGTTTTCTGATGATTTAAATTGAATTTAGCCAACTGTTTTTACACTTTTATAACAAGTTCTACTATTTTTTATGATTTGGGATCAAAATTGGATTGGAATCTGAGAGAACGATAGAATAAGTAACAAATAGGAAATTTACATTTCATAAATCTAGCAAGTTTCGATTTTATTAAAGCTTCATCAGAGAATGAAGCATAGAGATAAAATGAATTCTGGTATTTTTATTTTTTTGCTGTTATTTTTCATTGGTTAAGCAGATTTCACGTGCATTTGACTCATCTAGAAATGTTTCTGTGCATAATTTATGTGTGTAAGTGTATCATCATTCTAGTTTGTCTATGCGTGATTCAAATATATATTCTATGCATGTATTTATGTATGCATGTGTGTGTGTGTGTGTGTGTGTGTGTGTGTGTGGTAAACTTTATTTATGTTTGGTGCTTGTCCGTGTGTTCATTTGGGGAGGTTTTTACGTAAACACCGCTTGTGGTCGTAGTAGATAAAACATTAATTAGATTATTTAAAAATTGATTTAAGGTTGGTGATATAACATACTATTTCTGACGAGGTGTTTATTGTTGCTAAAATATTTATTAGGGTACCCTTGAAGTAAAGGATTATCTTCTTTGTTTTAAAATTAGGGTGGTATTTGTTTATCAAAATTATGGCTAGTCTTGTTCCTGTGAATTGCAAGCGAATTTAAAGGCATGTCTCAACGTAGCTCTTTCTTATATAGCAGATATTTAACATTCGAGAAGTCTCGTCAATTTTATTTGATAAATCTAGTTTTCTTCCTAATTATACATCCGATTGTCTTGAAGGTGGTGGTAAAATCCTGGCGTTGGGTACAAAATTTATTTTAAATTTTGTAGATAGAGTTTTAGAATGTAGGATCACTTTCTTTTCCATAAAATTTCTTTATACTCTGTTTCAACACAAATGCACACACATACGCTCATACATTATCATACATAGTTATTTTGCAATAATCGCATTATCCATAATGTATAATGCGTTTTAATATACCAATTCAGAATTCAGGAAAACCCTTCGAGTCGTTAGGAATTTCTTTCACGTTGTATTATGCAATGCTTAACACAATTTACAGAGAACTTAGGCCAACCCCTCTTAAGCTCATACAAAAAGGATTACAGTTTGCTAACGAGCGAACAG